GGTTTAGGGTTGAGGGTTCAGGTGTTCGAATTGCTGCAACATGGGTTTCAATGCTAGCGGATTCAGAAGAATGCGCTGCAGCTGAAGGGCTAGATGGCTCTACGCTGAGTGAGGTGCATCTGAATGTCCCAATGGGGAACTACATGAATATCATTCCTTCGAGTTCATTGGGCTTGTCTATCGTGAGAACGCCCGCTGAAACCCGAGTCTAATTTGTTTCGCCTGCATGTGATGTCTAGCAGGTCAGTGTACAACATCCATGACCAACCTGTGTACTCCAGCGAAACTTTTCGCCACACCCTGAAGCCCGGTGGGAAAAACATCTTGGGTCAAGCTGGTTTGGTATGTCGTTGCCTAAGCAGACGTTGCATCAACGCGGCGGGCGCTGCAAGACATCGGAAGAGGACGAAGCATTGCAATGCAGCGCAGACCAAGTGGCCAGGTGGGAAGCGAGGCAAACGCAAGAAAGGAGCGAAAGGTATGAAAATGTCCGGGTGCCCGCAATCTACTTGGAGGTTCATTGGTAGTTANNACTTATAACCCTACTTATAACTGGCCACGAACCTCCAAGTAATCTGCAGAAGGGCAGGGCTCAAGTGGACAAGCTCCTGCAACGCCACGGCATTCACAGTGACAGCTTCGATGTCAACGTGGCTAAAGCGTTTTTTTGGTGGTCTGTACCGAACTTATCCACTTCATCTCGCAGCAAAGGAGAGAAACTGGCACATGGTTCGTTTGCTCCTCCACTTCGGCGCAGACCCCTTGCAGCGGGACAGCCGCGGAACAACTCCTTTCCACTGCATGGGGCAAGTTTGCCCGACCAGATAGGAGCTCAGACCGTCACGAGGTGTTTAAACAAGTCCTGATTTCAAGGTTGGGCTTCGATTGGAAGCCAGATGAGATATTAGCTGTGGCATTGATTGTTCGGATTTGCAGATCTAGGCAGGAGAGAGCCATAGTGTGTGTTCATAGGTCCATATGGAAAGGACCTCACGGGCGCAGCAATCCAAATGCCACAGCCAGACTTTGCATGTAGCCTCTCTGGGGTTTTAGGAGTTCGAAGGCAGCATCCACCACTGCTGGGCCGCATGAGTGGAATCCGCTCCTGTTTCTTGCCTTGGCTGTAGGTGTAGACATTGACATGGGCATGTGTTATGTGGCCTCGGATCCCTAAACCCTAAACCCTAAGCCCCTTCCGGTGGGCTTGATGGTGTTGCTGCCATGGAAGGTCTCTGGCCCGCGGTGTAGCCTGACACCCTGCGGCTCATGGTGTTATGGAGTTGTCTCAGGGTTTAGGGTTTAGGGTTTAGGGTTAAGGGTTTAGGTCTGCAAATGAAATCTGTGTTTCGGTCTTCTTCACACTACAGGCGTCTTGCACTCGAGCCAAAGCTTGTGCTTCAATCGCTTTCCGCGTGGCGCCGGCTTTCGGACCCTTTGCCGAGTCTTCTTGGAGGTTCATAGGTAGTTATAAGTGGGGTTATAAGTAGGGCAACTATGGTTATAACCCATACCAGGGGACTTATAACCATACGTACAACTGCCCGTGAACCTCCAAGTATTGAGCACAAGCTGTAGAATGCAGCCGAGCGTAAGTCTGCATCTCCAAGATCGGCACCTGACGTTCTACGGTTGAGGGTTCAGGTGGAAGGGAGGGAGGTTCACAAGCGAGTAAGACGGGCTTTTGGAGAGTATTGTCAGGTTTTATGGCGATTGGCACGGTTCAGGGTTTAGGGATGCGTTCCGTCGGTGACTGTTTCTTGTCTGAAAATTGGGGGTTTAGCTTTAAAGGTTTACGGCATTGACGGCTTTGTTATTCCGGGCTGTGGCTAGGGCATCATGGTTCCGCAAACCGTGTCACGCGTCCGCGTTTATCAAAGCGTCGCCACTTTCGAGAAAAACTGTTGGGTTCCCACTACCGTGCTTTTGCAGTGCACGCCGTTGCAGGAACCCTAAACCCTAAACCCCGTTGCAGGTACCTCGTTACCCAGGCCGGTTGGAAGTTCCCGGTTTCGGGGCTTTTGGAGCTGCATCGCCTTCGGGTTTGTGTCTGCGGCGCTTTGAGCTTTGGTCAAGGAGCTACCCAAGTCTTCTTCGTATGACGTTGTTACCGTCGTGTGGGCTGGTGCCACTCCGCTACCTTCTCTCTTTATGGATCCGCCCCCATGCTGATACACTGTGGTAAGACATTGACTGTTCTCCAAATTAGGGTCCTACTGCATGTTGGGCCCCCAGAATAATGAATATTCTTACAACAAAGATACTTGAAAAAGACCAAGCCATCATTTAGAGAAGTCCCAGATAGCAGAGGTAACAGGTGCAATGTAATGATTGAACTCCCTGCAACCCTAATCGCGAACCCTCTAGACCCCTGAACCCTAAACCCTAAACCCTAAACCCCTGAACCCTAAACCGGAACCCCCCAAAACCCTAAATCCCAGGACCCTAGTTAAACCCAGTCAGTACACACCCCCAACCGGCTTCAACCTCTGAGCCCTAAA